ACGGCTGATAACCTGCGTGAGGTCGGGTAGTTGCTTGCACTACGCTTTGGCTCCTCACCAGCCAAATGGTCTCGCACTTGTTTTCTGCACTGATGTTCGCCTTCAGTCTCCGTCTCGTGCACCCGGGCGGTTTCCAGTTACGCTATTGCGCTTACTTCCAACCTATGGGTGACCTACACTCTAGGGATTACTTGAGCCAACGTGGTGAACAGGCCACGGCGTTCTAAGGTGGTTTCCCCGATGTGCGGCGGAGCCGACACAACGGGGTTCCCAAAATGTGCTGTGGTTCGGGGATCATTCACATTTAGGGTTTAGGGTTTAGGGTTTAGGGTTTAGGGTTTAGGCGTAAGTTGGCGGTCTGCCCATATAGGGGTCAGAATAGTTACTAATAGTACTCTGTTACTATGGTCCCCATCTACTTGTGCCACAATAAGCTTCCAAGCCCTGTTAAAGTGATCAAGGCCCCTAGAAATGTTCCCACTTATACTAACCGTCTTTAGAAAGCGATTGCAGTTAATCCGTGTTCAGGACTGTTAGTATACGGGGGAACATCCCAACCCCGCATTATGCGCTTTTGGGATTTACGTCATCAGAGTCCTATACAAAATCTCTCCTCCATGCACGCAGAAGGGCCGTGCTTGGACTTGTAGAATGCCGTGCCAGTGTCGTTGAATGCCTTAAACCCTAAACCCTAAACCCCAAGCCCTAAACCCTAAACCTCTGAACCGGTGGAACTGAAACTTTGGGTTGAAAGATGTGTCAACAGCTTCCAGGATGATTCTGGTTTACTTGAAGATGTCACCAGCGTGTTTTTACTACTGAGGTTAGTGGAAGGTATATGGGGTTTAGATTCTTAGGTCAGGAGGGGTTTGAGGTTTAGGGTTTAGGTTTTGGGGTTTAGATTCTTAGGACCCATGAACTTTCGAGACACGGCGTGGGAAATTCACATTCAGAAACCGCTACTGCTGGCGGGTCTAGAAGCAGTGCTCAAGTGTATGTTGACCACGGCATACTCCCAGTCAACATGAACCAGCGACACATTTGGAGGCTCATTCTGCATGCTGAAGATCCCCGCAGAATCAGGATAGCTCCTGGAATGCAGGGCTCCACTGAATCTACCCTTTAAGGCCCTTTATGTTGTACAATCAGTATAAAAAACATACACCCGAAAGCTTACAAATGATATGTCTTGGTGGCGTAGTAACCATACTCTAACAAGCAACCCATTCTGGGGTTGGTTACCCAGAACCCCACACAGAGCAAAGCGGTACCACTCAGCTACCCCCCAAACCCCAAACCCTGAACCCCAAACCCTAAACCCTAAACCCCAAACCCTAAACCCCAAACCCTGAACCCCAAACCCCAAACCCCAAACCCTAAAAAAGGCTCCTGGGAGACTTCCAGTTCGGGACAAGGCTGAAGCCTGCCCCAGAAGCTGCACGGCCCAGACATTCCAGATACCTCGATTAGGTCTCAGGGTTTGGGGTTTGGGGTTTAGGGTTTAGGGTTGGAGGTTTAGGGTTTAGGGTGTAGGGTTTGGGGTGTAGGGTGCAGGTTTAGGGTTTCGGGTCTAGGAATTGTCAGAAGGCATCTGAGTGGGTGTAAGGCAGGGGGAATGGGCCTTTACAGCCCCCTCACTTGCACGCCACCCTTCCTCAATGCTTCCTTCTGCCACCAACTGAGGGCTGACGGTTGGTCTCGGAACTTGGTTTTCCTAGACCCTAAACCCTGAACCCTAAACCCTAAACCCTAAACCCAGAGGCCCTGAAAGCCTGAAGAAGCACCCAGGCACTCCCCGCGAAGGAAGACTCCAAGCATGCCCTCGTGGAGCTGCTTGGAGGCTTTGGCGTAAAGATCTGGATCCTCTTGGTAGGGTTTGGAGTTTAGGGCTTAGGGCTTAGGGCTTAGGGCTTAGGGTTTAGGGTTTAGGGTTTAGGGTTTAGGGTTTAGGGTTTAGGGTTTAGGGTTTCGGGTTTAGGGCTTGGAGGGTTCGGGGTAGTGTTAGGGGCTTCTCAACTGGTGGGCAGGGCTTCGCGGGTTCCGGGTAGTGTTTTTAGGACTTTGGGGTTCAGGATCTTAAGGTTGTTTGGGACTTTTGTGCCTAGGGCCCACCTGCTGTAGCCACTTGAAGTAGAACTCGGTGCCTGGGACGCGGAAACCCGGCGCTGTTTCCGAACCCAAACCCTGAACCTAATATGGACGACTAGTGCTGGGATTCCCTCTAGTAACCCCCTTGGAGTATGATGATAATGATGTTCCAACTTTTGGAAGTTTACTGTATCCCCCTCCGTCTCTCTCTCACTCACTCACTCACTCACTCTCTCTCTCTCTCTCTCTCTCTCTCTCTCTCTCTCTCTCTCTCTCTCTCGCTCTTTCTTTCTAAATATCTTCCTTTTTGTTCTTCTCTCTCTCTCTCTCTGTCTTTCGCTCGCTCTCCTTGATTTGTTGTGTCTTCCCTCCCTTCTTCCCGTCCCGTGCTCGTGCTCATCTGATTCAGGTGGGGTAAAGGACAGATTCCCCTAAAGGCGGAGTGTCACTTTGCGAGAGGCCGACGCTCGAAATATGTTTCCTTATCTCTGTCTTGTTTTGGGCACAGTATGTCATGGTACATATACATGGATATGTACATACATACACAAATAATACTTGTATGTATACGTGCAAATAGAAGTACGGAATTGAAAAATATAGATGTAAAATGATGGTCCCCTTTTGGGGTACCATAAATATTAGGTGCCGTATGATTATAGGGAAAAGGGGCCCTAATTTTGACAGCCACCCAAATATATGCACAGACACACATCCTGATGACAACACAAGGTGCCTGGAAAGCTGGACGCCGACTCAAACCAGCCAGCAGCGTGGAAGGCATGCGCCAAGCGCAGTGCAAAGTCGAGAAATGCCTGTGGTTTGGGGCTTAGGGTTTAGGGTTTAGGAAGGATTTAGGGTTTAAGATTTAGGGTTTAGGTTTTAAAGTTTAGGACTGAGGGTGGCTATGGGTTGAGGGTTTAGGGTTGTGGTTTATGGCTTGAGGGTCTAGGATTGGGGGTGAGGCTGCGAGGCTTGTCTTGCATGTTTGCCCTGAAGCTTTCCCGAAGCTTTGGGGGGGGGGGGGGGGGGGGGGGGGTTGAGGAATGAGAGCCTTCTGATTCGGGCATGGTGGGCACTTCATAGGGCTTCAGGGTATTGAGGCCTTGCAGAAGAAGTTGTCGATGACAAGTACGTCTGCTGAGCTGGATATGCTCAGCAACTTGATGTCGGACTTCTTGAAGCAGCACACCTGTCAGGACATGGCCCACCCCTGGAGACACCCCATCACAAAGCTAGACCCAAGAGTCACCTAGGAACACAAAGAGTACCTTCTTGGTTTCAAAGGACTTGTAAGGGAACCGAAACCCTAAAACAAAGGAACTAAGTACTGTTGGTCCTAGAAAGTCTAGCTGCATGCTCAGTTTAAGGGGTAGGGTTTAGGGTTTAGGGCTTAAGGTTTAGGGTTTTGGGTTTAGGGTTTGGGGACCCCAACAGCATGCTGTTGGCCCCCAGCCCGCGCCTCTGCGGGTTCACCATGCAGGGCTCGAGGAAGCATCAGGAGCAGAAACACCGGAGGCGGCTTCATCTTATGGGTTTAGGGTTTAGGGTTTAGGGTTTAGGGGTGTAGTAGGAAGCCCTGAGTCCTAAGCCCTAAGCCTTATGTGCCCTGGAGCTTCTGAACCCTAAACGGCCCAAAACCTTATGAACCTTAAACCTCATGATCTCATGAACCCTAAACCTTTTGAACGCTAAACCTAGTCTAAACCCTGACCAAAACCTTGTAAACCCTATATAAACCATATGAGCCCTACACCTTATAAACTCTAAACCCGAGCCCTGAGCCCTATCACCCTAAAACCTTGAGAGCTCTAATCCTAAAGCTCTTGGGTACCAAGAACCAGCAACCCGAAACTCCAAAACAGAAAGCCCAATGCCCTAAACCTAAACCCATTAACCAAACCCGAAATCCTCAAAAAAACTCTAAAACCTAAACCCAAACCCTAAAACCAAAAAACAAAAAGCAAGTACCTAAACCCAAACCCTAAAACCAAAAAAAAAAAAGTAAGTCCTGAGGCCGGCGACTGCGAGCTGCGAGCCGCCACTTCAGATGAAGGTTTAGGGGTTTTGGGGGGGGTTTAAGGGTTTAGGGTTTAGGGTTAAGGGGCTTTATGATGGAGGACGCCACAGGGGCCCTTTTGGGCTTTGGGGGTTTTGGGGGGTTTAGCGGTTTTGGGGGTTTAGAGGTTTTGGGGTGTAGGGTTCAGGGTTTTGGGGGGTTTTAGGGGTTTAGGGGTTTAGGGGTTTCGGGGGCTTAAGGGCTTTAGGGGTTTCGGGTTTAGGGGTTAGGGTTTTAGGGGTTGAGGGGTTCAGGGTTCAGGGTTCAGGGTTCAGGGTTCAGGGGTAAGGAAAGTGTTGTAGGATTTGGCAAGGAGGGGTTGTCTAGATACAGAAGGTGTTAAGAGGGCTTTAATGGTGGTGTAGCAGGGTGTGGAGCGTTGAGCGTGCTAAGGCGAGTCATTAATTAGAGAACTAAGAAAACCGCTTGCTTTGGGGTGTAAGGTTAGGAGGCCCGACGCCCTGAACGCGGGTAAACCCTTCAAGCCACAAAACTGAAATCAGCAAAGCCCAAGCCCCCAAACGAACAGGAGAACACACACCTCGACTCAAGTCGGATACACAGCCATCCAAGAAAGTCGAAGCCCCCGGATGCCCCACAACTGGCCATTGGTTTAAGGATCAAGGGCTTACGGGGTGAAGGCCCAGGGTCTTTAAGGGAGGAGATTCCAAGCCTGACCTAGAGTACCCTGAAGCTTACCTAGTTAAGTCACCTGCCGCGAGTTCTGGACGCCATACCCTAGACCACAAACCCTGAACCCTAAACCCTAAACCCCAAACCTAAACCCTAAACCCAAAACCCTAAAGCCTAAAGCCTAAACCCTAACCCCTGAACCCCAACACCCGGAACTCTCCTGGGCCATGGAGAGGTCTGTCTGTGCCCAGCGGCTGATGCCCAGGGGCACCACCTACCAAAGGCGTCAAATTGCATGTTTTGTGGCGGGTTTAGGGAGTTAGGGTTTAGGGCTTAGGGTTTCCCCGAGATAGCACGGCGCCGTAGAAAAAGGACCCCCCAAAAGAGACCCCAATGTAGAGAACGACAAATCTGGGCATTTCCCCAAATAGGAGACTGCGTTATAAGTTTTATCAAAAAACAGTAATCACCGTCTTAGGAACCCCCGCAAAAGGTGCCCTTAGCCCTGATCCCCATCCGATTAGATCTTTAGAGCTTGAGGTTTCAATATGCAGTGGTGCTGAAGGGAGTTTAGCACTTAAGGCTCTTCCTTTCTTCGTAAAGGGTTTAAGTGTATAGCCCCCCCCCCCCAAAAAAAAAAAAAAAAAACATAAGCGATCGGGAACCTCGGACAGGAGGTTGCGGGGCCTATTCAAGGCCCTGAGGGTTTGATGTTTTGGGGCCCTGTTTGGAAACCTGAACCTATTCTCGCATGCAGTTTACGAAGATAGGCAAACAAGGTACAACTGCAGATAGGCCACTGTTGCTGAGCTAAGTTCTCATCAAGTTAGCCCTGTCTTAAGAGCCCCAAAAGCCCACGCTTTTTTTTGCAGTCTGCCAAGAATCCACTCAAAGGTTCTGCTCGTCTAGTACATCCTATAGGAACTAGACCCAAGAGTAACCTCTTCCCTTGGTTGTGGTTTCAGGGGGCTTAAAAGGGAACCTAAGCCCTGAAAAAAGGGAGAAAAGGGCGCCCGAACCTTAAAAACCCTAAACCCTAACCCTAAACCCTAAACCCTAAACCCCAAACCCCAAACCCCAAACCCTAAACCCTTCTAGAATGGACCCACAAAAAAGACGCTAGACTTTTCATGGACTCCCTGCTTGACAAGACGAGAAGATGCAAGGATCGACGCACTTAGGTAGGCACATGTGATTGTTGCGTAGAAGGGGTGACCCTAAACCCCAAACCCAAACCCCAAACCCTAAACCTTAAACCCGAAAGCCCTAAACCCCAAGCCCTAAACCCTAAACCCGAAACCCTAAACCCTAAACCCGAAACCCGAAACCCTAAACCCTAAACCCTGTGAACTCCGCAGCCCTGCCTCCGGCTCCTCTGTGCCCGCTGCCGGCTCTCCAGAGCATTCGCACTCCTGATGCTGTGTCCCAACTGGTTTTGGGTTTAGGGTTTAGGGTTTAGGGTTTAGGGTTTAGGGTTTAGGGTTTAGGGCTTAGGGTTTAGGGTTTAGGGCTTAGGGTTTTTTAGGGTTTAGGGTTTAGGGTCTCTAGGGTTTAGGGTTTAGGGTTGAGGGTTTAGCGTTGAGGGGTTTAGGGCTTCGGGTTATGGGCAGTTTCCTAAATTAAGGTCCCTTGTTGGGCACCCATTATAAGGCAGCACCCTTGACAATGAACGCCCCCCCCAAAAGAGGGCCTAATGTTAGAGAACTACCCATATAATCATACTGGAACAACACAGGCAGTGAAGATGCTGACCACTTCTGTCCAACTCAAGCTGCTACGTCAGAGGCGTTGGAGTTTCGCGTACGCAACATGCGCGTGTGATTTGCGTGCTTCTAGAGCTGTTTGGGTGCCTACCAGCTGACTTGGGTGCGCAGGTACTTACGACCTACTGGCTTAGAGCGCCTCTTGAGGGTGGAAGACAGCATTGTGTTCAGAGATAAATCAGCTAAGCAAGGGTCTTAGAGTTTAGGGTCTGGGGTTCGGGCTAACAGACCCTTTTTGTGGATGCCAAACCCAGGGCTCAGCGCGGCTCCTAAACCCTAAACCCTAAACCCTAAACCCTAAACCCTAAACCCTATAACCCCTAAACCCCTAAACCCCAAACCCCATAACCCCTAAACCCCAAACCCCAAACCCCAAACCCCAAACCCTAAACCCTAAACCCTAAACCCGCAACCAGGCCTCTTGCGGCGCAGGCTCCGGGGCCTGCACCCCTACGTCCTCGCATGGGGTTACGAGAGGCTCGTTTGTTCGGCTGAGGGATTTTGGGGTTTAGGGTTTAGGGTTCAGGGTTTAGGTTTGGGGTTTAGGGTTTAGGGTTTAGGGTTTAGGGTTCAGGGTTTAGGGTTTAGGTTTGAGGTTTAGGGTTTAGGGTTCAGGGTTCGGGGTTCAGGGTTCAGGGTTTAGGGTTCAGGGTTCAGGGTTGAGGGTTTAGGGTTCAGGGTTCAGGGTTCAGGGTTTAGGGTTTAGGGACGGATGTTGAAGCAGACTCTGCTAGAAAATGTTGGTGCTGAAGAAAGCCGGAGCAACACCGGCACAGGATTCGAAGACACGCCGGTCCCCGGGGCTTGTTTTAAACCCCATACCCCCTCTGAGCAAACTCGAGCCGAACCCGAAACACTAAACCCTAACCTGGAGTCTAACCCTAAGCTTTCAATCACCTGCCATATATATACACATATATATATATATATATGTAAGAGGAACCTCTATGTACTATTTGACATGGCTGCTTTCTGTATTAAAAGTTTTAATAGTTTTAATAGTTTGAATTTTTTAAAAAGCCTCCGAAACTATTAAAACCATTAAAAGAAGCATTTTTAATAGTTTAATAGTTTTAATAGTTTCAACTTTTAAAAAGCCTTCCGAACTATTAAAACTTTAAAAAGAGAAGGCCTGGCCAGGAGATTCCTGAACTTTTAAAACTATTAAAACTTTTAAAACTATTAAAAATAATAAAACTATTAAAACTTTTAAAAAGGCTTCCTTTTAATAGTTTCAATAGTTTTAATAGTTTGAACTTTTAAAAAGCCTCCCAAACTATTAAAACTATTAAAAAGAAGCCTTTTTAATAGTTTTAATAGTTTTAATAGTTTTAATAGTTTTAAAAGTTTAAATAGTTTTAAAAGTTCAGGAATCTCCAGGCCAGGCCTTCTCCTTTTTAAAGTTTTAATAGTTTTAATAGTTTGAACTTTAAAAAAGCCTCCCGAACTATGGAAACTATTAAAAAGCAGCATTTTTAATAGTTTTAATAGTTTTAATAGTTTCAACTTTTAAAAAGCCTCCCAAACTATTAAAAATCTAAAAAAGAGAAGGCCTGGCCAGGAGATTCCTGAACTTTTAGAACTATTAAAACTTTTAAAACTATTAAAACGATTAAAACTATTAAAACTTTTAAAAAGGCTTCCTTTTAATAGTTTTAATAGTTTTAATAGTTTGAACTTTTAAAAAGCCTCCCAAACTATTAAAACTATTAAAAAGAAGCCTTTTTAACAGTTTTAATAGTTTTAAAAGTTTTAAAAGTTCAGGAATCTCCAGGCCAGGCCTTCTCCTTTTTAAAGTTTCAATAGTTTTAATAGTTTGAACTTTTAAAAAGCCGCCCAAACTATTCTAAACAATTAAAAAGAAGCATTTTTAATAGTTTTAATAGTTTTAATAGTTTTAATAGTTTTAAAAGTTTTAACAGTTTTAAAAGTTCAGGAATCTCCAGACCAGGCCTTCTCCGTTTTAAAGTTTTAATAGTTATAATAGTTTCAACTTTTAAAAAGCCTCCCAAACTATTAAAACTATTAAAAAGAAGCCTTTTTAATAGTTTTAATAGTTTTAATAGTTTCAACTTTCAAAAAGCCTTTCAAACTATTAAAACATTAAAAAGAGAAGGCCTGACCAGGAGATTCCTGAACTTTTAAAACTATGAAAACTTTTAAAACTATTAAAACTATTAAAACTATTAAAACTATTAAAACTTTTAAAAAGGCTTCCTTTTAATAGTTTTAATAGTTTTAATAGTTTGAACTTTTAAAAAGCCTCCCAAACTATTAAAACTATTAAAAAGAAGCCGTTTTAATAGTTTTAATAGTTTTAATAGTTTTAATAGTTTTAATAGTTTTAATAGTTTTAATAGTTTTAATAGTTCTAAAAGTTTCAAAAGTTCAGGAATCTCCAGGCCAGGCCTTCTCCTTTTTAAAGTTTTAATAGTTTTAATAGTTTGAACTTTTAAAAAGCCTCCCAAACTATTAAAACTATTAAAAAGAAGCCTTTTTAATCGTTTTAATAGTTTTAATAGTTTCAACTTTTAAAAAGCCTCCCAAACTATTAAAACTTTAAAAAAGAGAAGGCCTGGCCAGGAGATTCCTGAACTTTTAAAACTATTAAAACTTTTAAAACAATTAAAACTATTAAAACTATTAAAACTTTTAAAAAGGCTGCCTTTTAATATTTTTAATAGTTTTAATAATCTAAACTTTTAAAACGCCTCCCAAACTATTAAAACTATTAAAAAGAAGCCTTTTTAATAGTTTTAATAGTTTTAATAGTTTTAAAAGTTTAAATAGTTTTAAAAGTTTTAAAAGTTCAGGAATCTCCAGGCCAGGCCTTCTCCTTTTTAAAGTTTTAATAGTTTTAATAGTTTGAACTTTTAAAAAGCCTCCCAAACTATTGAAACTATTAAAAAGAAGCCTTTTTAATAGTTTTAATGGTTTTAATAGTTCTAAAAGTTTCAAAAGTTCAGGAATCTCCAGGCCAGGCCTTCTCCTTTTTAAAGTTTTAATAGTTTTAATAGTTTCAACTTTTAAAAAGCCTCCCAAACTATTAAAACTATTAAAAAGAAGCCTTTTAATAGTTTTAATAGTTTTGAAATAGTTTTAATAGTTTTAATAGTTTTAAAAGTTTTAAAAGTTTTAAAAGTTTTAAAAGTTTTAAAAGTTCGGGAATCTCCGGGCCAGGCCTTTGCCTTTTTAAAGTTTCAATAGTTTTAATAGTTTGAACTTTAAAAAAGCCTCCCAAACTATTAAAACTATTAAAAAGAAGCCTTTTTAATAGTTTTAATAGTTTAAATAGTTTTAATAGTTTTAATAGTTTCAACTTTTAAAAAGCCTCCCAAACTATTAAAACTTTAAAAAAGAGAAGGCCTGGCCAGGAGATTCCTGAACTTTTAAAACTATTAAAACTTTTAAAACAATTAAAACTATTAAAACTATTAAAACTTTTGAAACTTTTAAAAAGGCTGCCTTTTAATATTTTTAATAGTTTTAATAATCTAAACTTTTAAAACGCCTCCCAAACTATTAAAACTATTAAAAAGAAGCCTTTTTAATAGTTTTAATAGTTTTAATAGTTTTAAAAGTTTAAATAGTTTTAAAAGTTTTAAAAGTTCAGGAATCTCCAGGCCAGGCCTTCTCCTTTTTAAAGTTTTAATAGTTTTAATAGTTTGAACTTTTAAAAAGCCTCCCAAACTATTGAAACTATTAAAAAGAAGCAATTTTAATAGTTTTAATAGTTTTAATAGTTTTAATAGTTTTAAAAGTTTTAAAAGTTTCAAAAGTTCAGGAATCTCCAGGCCAGGCCTTCTCCTTTTTAAAGTTTTAATAGTTTTAATAGTTTCAACTTTTAAAAAGCCTCCCAAACTATTAAAACTATTAAAAAGAAGCCTTTTAATAGTTTTAATAGTTTTAAATAGTTTTAAAAGTTTTAATAGTTTTAAAAGTTTTGTAAGTTCGGGAATCTCCGGGCCAGGCCTTTGCCTTTTTAAAGTTTCAATAGCTTTAATAGTTTGAACTTTAAAAAAGCCTCCCAAACTATTAAAACTATTAAAAAGAAGCCTTTTTAATAGTTTTAATAGTTTTAATAGTTTTAATAGTTTTAATAGTTTCAACTTTTAAAAAGCCTCCCAAACTATTAAAAATTTAAAAAAGAGAAGGCCTGGCCAGGAGATTCCTGAACTTTTAAAACTATTAAAACTTTTAAAACTATTAAAACTATTAAAACTATTAAAACTTTTACAAAGGCTTCCTTTTAATAGTTTTAATAGTTTTAATAGTTTGAACTTTTAAAAAGCCTCCCAAACTATGAAAACTATTAAAAAGAAGCCTTTTTAATAGTTTTAATAGTTTTAATAGTTTTAATAGTTTTAATAGTTTTAATAGTTTTAAAAGTTCAGGAATCTCCAGGCCAGGCCTTCTCCTTTTTAAAGTTTTAATAGTTTTAATAGTTTGAACTTTTAAAAAGCCGCCGAAACTATTAAAGCTATTGAAAAGAAGCAGTTTTAATAGTTTTAATAGTTTTAATAGTTTTAATAGTTTTAATAGTTTTAAAAGTTTTAAAAGTTCAGGAATCTCCAGGCCAGGCCTTCTCCTTTTTAAAGTTTTAATAGTTTTAATAGTTTCAACTTTTAAAAAGCCTCCCAAACTATTAAAACTATTAAAAAGAAGCCTTTTTAATAGTTTTAATAGTTTTAATAGTTTCAACTTTAAAAAAGCCTTTCAAACTATTAAAACATTAAAAAGATTTAAAAGTTCAGGAATTTCCTGGACAGGGCCCCGGGCCTCTCCCCAATACAAAACCACGAGCCCGGGCCTCCCCCCAATACTAAATTACGAGCCCGGGCTTCTCCCCAAAACAAAATAACGAGCCCGGGCCTCCCCCCAATACTAAATTACGAGCCCGGGCCTCCCCCCAATATTAAATTACGAGCCCGAGCCTCCCCCCAATACTAAATCACGAGCCCAGGCCTGCCCCCAATACTAAATCACGAGCCCAGGCCTCCCCCCAATACTAAACTACAAGCCCGGGCCTCCTTCCAATACTAACCGGCCATGAGATTCCTGAACTTTCAAAACTTTTAAAACTTTTAAAACTATTAAAACTATTAAAACTATTAAAACTTTTAAAACTTTTAAAACTATTAAAAAAGCCTCGGGCCTTCTCCCAATACTAAATTACGAGCCCGGGCCTTCTCCCAATACTAAATCACGAGCCCGGGCCTTCTCCCAATACTAAATCACGAGCCCGGGCCTGCCCCCAATACTAAATGACGAGCCCGGGCCTCCCCCCAATACTACATCGCGAGCCCGGGCCTTCTCCCAATACTAAATCACGAGCCCCCCCTCCTTTATTTTTTGTAAATTATAAGAATTATGTAAATTATATAAATTAGGGTCGCGTCACTTTGGTCAGATTTTGCCGGGCCCCGCGTAGATCCAGGCAGATTTTGTCCATGGTGA